TAGCTCTGCTTACTTCCTATTATCATAGCTTCTGATGATTGTTATCGAATCCTTCGCGGGACACCATCCCTGTTGCGTTATTCTTCGAGTAATCATGTCCCCATTAGGTTCTTTTAGCCTGAAAACAGTAGGGCATCAACTATGTTTGTAGTAGCTTGCCTATCAATGCTTCTATCTTCTGAAGGCAATGCTAACTTTCTCCTCTGACTTCTGCTACTTGAAGCTCGAAGAAACATTTAGCCATCTTTTTTTGTAACTCTGGATAAGCTCAAGGCTCAATCAAGTTCACACGTTTGGAGAAACTAGTACTTAAAATCTTTTTGAATATTACAATTATAAAGTAATTAGATTCAATGCTTGTTGACATATTTTGCCTAGAACAATAAATAATAACATGATGAGCTTATATTTATTCTTCAGAGCTGGCTAGATATGAATTCTGCTCTAATATTAGCTACATTATTGTCTTCTGTTCATTGTGCACTAACACAATGGACCTCTTAAGACTTGCTAACTTGCATTGCACTCGGATGGATGATGCAGGAACCGAGAACAGAGCATGGCCAAATGCAACCTCCCCAGCTCAGCTCTTGCAGTACATTATTGTTTTCCTTGGAGACTCTTACCACAATTATTTTTTGTTGTGTGTTCTCATTTTCCTTCATCGGATAAACCTTATCCTACCTACGATACAATATCGTCGTTATCGCTTTCATGTCGGTATGAGCTCATGGAAACAAATGAACAAACTTGAGTGTGATTTTTGTTAGTTTGCAGTAACCATGCTTAAGTTATGATATCCTGATCTGATGAGTCATGCAAACAAAGTTACAAGAGTTGAGCTCGCCACAAATGACACAAAATGATATATCTACTTTTTCTTTCAAAGATGACTAGAAAAAGCACAATATCAATTCCAGCATCGTATTGATGTTGTCACAGATTTTTTTTTTCGTTGTCATGCTACCTTCATAATCAGGCAAATGAAATAAGATTTTACAAGAAATAAGATTTTATATTCAACACAAACACTTCCAGTATTTCATACAGGAAAATGAGAGAACAGAAATGATTTCTCATCATTCCAGTGCCAGAAAAGATGTATCCAAATCTGTACGCTTGCATAGGAAATAAACCCAGAACACCATGGATGATTGCAATCTGATATTTGCAATCTATTTTTTATCCCAATAAGTACATAGTACATACTGTACAGTAGTGGAGCTTAAATTGGAAATTACGGCTAAGAAGTTTGATATTGGTAGCATAAAAACTACAATTACAATAAGTCCATTACCGAAGGCTACAATAACCCCTACACCATTTACAAGCAAAGGTGAAGATAGCACTCTGTGGTTGTATGTGCCGCAATTGATCTTTGTAAGTTTACACATGGAAGCAGCCCAACAGAGAGGTGCTCCGCCACTTCGCCGGGACATTGGGCGTTTGCATTTGAAAATTCACAGCATATAATCATTGCATTAGCAGATGAGTTAGAGGTTACCACTTACAGGCAGGGTCCTTTGCCAGGGGCCTAAGATGTTGTCATCATCCTTAAATGTATACTGATTACCATCCCTTGGAGACATCCATTGGACCTACAACTTTCACAGAAAAAAACCATTAATTCTGCATCTAGTAACCATTCATGTTTGTTTGCCCCTAAAGAACTACAGTGTAAAAGATTTCAAGTTATTCTTGATATACTTTCTGTTCTAAAGAATAAAAGCAAAGGCATATACACACCAAAGGCAAATGAGATCATAGGTAACGCATAAGATACAACGCAACTGTGGACCATAAGATTAATGCTTCAATGTCATATAATATACTGGATACCCCAAATAACCTTACAAGTAGATAGTCCATTATCTGCACAAACAGTTGATGATCCAAAATATTCTAAAAGAAAACAGTGATCAATGCCGAATTGACATAGTAATTCTTATCAAGTATAGTTTCTCATTTATGCTCATAAGCCTGTCAAAACTATACAACTACACAACAATTGGAACAAATAACCAGGATTACAATAGAAAATCTATAAAAGAGGTGCAACATGCTATATGCTTTTGGTTATAACATATTGGCATTGGACAATTTTGGTTTATGAAAGGCAAGTAAAGAATGCATTTGTAGATCGCTTTTCACATGTATACCACTTTGATTCTTGTTTACACACATACAAACACAAACCACAATCCAAGTTACTTTTAATCTAACAGTAGCTTTCTTCATGATGTTCACCGTCATAACGCGGCAAACAGGATGGCTTATAACCAATTTCCAGTTCCCATCAAACAACCTAGCAATCTGCAACCTTGATTATCTCTATAAAAATCTTGAAAATTCAACTTGGAGTTCTCCTTTAACTCGAGTAAGATTTAATTTTTACCTGTGGACGACCAAACTTGGGTTTGGCTTCCGTGGGCTCAGAAGGAATTCATCTCGAGGCAATAAGTCCTCCTATTCATGAGCATCTTGGCTGCTGTCCTGTATGGCTCTTCAAAGGCATCTGAAACCCTGCAACCATCCGAGAGCCCGACAGATCCACCGACTGCCCCCGTCGTCCACTCCTCACTTGGTTTGATGGCCAACAATGTCGCACCCTTCAACAACATCCCATCCGGCAACTCGAGCTGCTGTGCATACCACAGACGCATGCTTAGTGCCGGCAGAAGTGTCCGTTGCGAGCACCCCGAAGCCATCACTGGCTTTCCCCTTAATTCCTGCAGTTGCAGCCGGTCCATGGTCAGCACCCCCTGCCCATCGGCATCTGTTAGATGCAAGCTCTCTAATGTTTCATGGTCAGCCACAATAGGATGGAGAAGATAATGCCGCGCTGAGGCGGCAATCAGCGAACTAATAGTCCACACCACCCTCCGCTTCAAGCTTCCATCAGTATAGAACGAATCTGGCATGCTTCCGCAATCATCACCGACACAAGCGTCCTCGAAACTAAGACTAGGATTAGGGTTTGGGGAGTCCGGGGAAATGGAAGACGAGAACGCCACGGATGAGGCACTAAGGATGACGCAGCTATCGAGGGTGGATCCGAAGTCCGCCCTCCACTTCAAGAGGACGCCGTCGTCGACGCCGAGCTCACCGTCGGGAAGCTCGATGCGGAGGCGCCGGATCACATTGAAGTTCTTCAAGACTTCGGTCGGGGAATGGTGGGAGACATCGGACGAAGTTGAAGAGAATGAAGAGGACGATGGCGCGGACTTCCTGGCCGCGGTGAAGGCGGCGGCGGCAGCAGCGGAGGAGGAAGAGGAGGGGGACAGGATTTGCCCGAGAGCCACGAGGGGCTTGACGAGGCCGCCGAGGACGATGCGAGCAAGGTGGGAGAAGACGCCGCGGGGCTTGTCTGACGCGGCAGCGCCGCCCGCCTCGGCGACCCGGGAGAGGGAGGGATCGTCGGAGATGACACAGTCGACTCGGACGACGACCTCGTCGACGAGTCGGACGAGGGCGTGGAAGCGGCGGGAGACGACGCAGCAACGCCCCAAGGCCTTGACGTCGCCGACCAGGTTGAAGATCACAAGGAGCACCGAGTCCGGCAGCCGGTCGAAGTGATCGATCCCCTCATCCTCCTCCACCGGATCCCAGTGGTCCGGCCGCAACCCGTCCATATCCGCCGCGGCTACGCCGCCAGAGGACAATATCGGGCCGGAAAATTCGACGGAATGCGGTCGAGAAACAGGACCAACTCCTCAGGAGCAGATCGAAAACCCTAGAAAGGCGCCATTTTCCGAGGCCATCGGACGAGATTATATCGAAGAGAGATCCGAACCCTAACCCTAATCCCCACTATTAGATTGGCCAGAAGCACGACTTTTAAAGGGTGATGGGAAGGAAGAAGAAGAGAAAGGTGGAGAAAGGAGCGGTTTCCTTACCAAGGAAAGAAATAGGACAAGAAATAATAAAAGGGAGAGAGTAAACCTAATTCAAAATATTTTAATAATTAGTTTTATGTATTTTTTATTAGTAAAAAAAATACTTAATTAGCTAATTATTAATATCCTCTGTCTCCCACTCTAATTAATTAACCAAAGAACTTGTCCTTCTCTTTAATGGTGAATATTGCTTTCTTCCCTCTCTCTCTCTCACCCTCCCTCCTAACTAATTAGCTAATTGATTAATTAGTTAGTTGATTAATTAATCTCACATGCCAAGAAAATTAGGAGTAGGGGGTGATGAGGATTAGGGATGGTGGAATTTGAACCATTTTAATTAAGCTTTGAGATTATTAGATCTACTCTACTCATAATAATTAGCTTTGAAATTATTAGGGATGTCTTAATAATTAGCCCTAGTCTACTCAAAATCCTTAAGAGCTAAGCTTTACATGTTCTCTAAGACATCATGATTGAGAGGGGTGGCTTCATCATGTGGAAAATAATTGTCTTTTTTTTTTTCTTACTAAAGGATTACTTCCCATCAATTTGATAACATTTCTTTTACTATCCCCTGACCATAGAGTTGACATTTACTTTGAAGCCTCCATAATTGATCTTAATGTGATATCACTGAATATATATATATATATATATATATATATATATATATATATATATATATATATATATATATATATATATATATATATATATATATATACTGTAATGAACCATTCATGCTCATCAGACTAGTATTCAATCAAAGATATTGTTAGGAATAAGAGTATAATTTCCTTTGTTTCATTGGATTTCTAGGTCAACAAGAATTGGACAGCTAATTTAGCTACTTATTCATATCTGAGATTGAAAAAAATTATGTAGGCATATATTTGACACACACACTTACTAATGCATGTATAATTAGAGTCTTAACTTCTCCACATACATTTTTTGTACATATTAAAGTATTTTGTATATTAAACTTGTAAGATGAAAGGAAGCCCAAAAATATAGACAATCATGAATTATTTGAGCCATTGCTTGCAGCCAAATTCTAATTCAAACTCTAAACAATTGCTGGAATCAAATGATTCTCGAAAATTTTGTTAGTGTATAGGAAGATCAATGCAGGAATCAGTTTGGACTCACCATTCAATTATGTTCAATCATAGATACTGCAGGAAAGGGTATGGCATTCATGTCTCCAGTGCAACATGTATCACATCAGACATCAACATGTAGGGCCTCTTTGCCAGCCACTGGGTGTTCAATTTGGTGTAGTATCAAAAAAAAGCTTCCAAGATTTATTCTTTTGGCTGGCTTTTGTGTTAGGCTTTTATGTTGGGCATCCAACAAGACATTCATGAACAGAACAGGTGAATGACAGGATGTTCTTGCAATCATATGCCATAGTTCTGCCACCATAAAAAGATTGTATATAATTATCAAGCTCTATAACAAATGTATAATCCAGAATTCTGAAGCATTAGTAATACCTTGTTCTAGTTTGAGAAGCTTTGAGATTGTGATGAACTACCTAATTGCCTGGGACCATATCACATTATAAATTTATAATGTCTAATGAGTCAAATTGTATGAAAGTTTACCAGTAAGCAAAATTTTCCATTGCTTTCCTCAAGTTCTCTCACCAAATGATCAAAGACAAACAATACAAACGTTGAATGTGCTTCACCAGACAAATTCTTGAGCTCCTCTTTTTTTGTATGCCAACCTCAGAAAAATAATCTCTAATCCAATCGACCAACATTTTCGCAGATTTTTCCTGTCAAAATAAAGAGAGTTACACCCTTGAAACTAGCTAATAGCATACATTAACATAAATTGTTGTCAACCATCTGAAATGTCATAACTGAGATAATCTACATCTGTCTACTATTCTCTAAGTTGCATACTATTTTTCTGTACAGGATGTTTCTCAGAGCATTTTTTTTATTTCTGAGTACACTGCTTTCTCACATTAATTCAACTGCTCACCCATTGGCATATGAACAAAAGATGGAACAGGAAGATTGATTGGAAGAGAAATGTTTTCATTTTCTGAAAGAAAAGAGCTCTTTGATGTGCAGTGAAGCAAAAAGGAAGTCAACTTAGGGATAAGTCTTAACTTTGGACCTACCAATATGCTGCCAGTATTTATGATCATAAGCAGACATATATCTTCCACTCTCATGATTGCCATGTCCCATGTATGTGATATATGTTCTATGCTTCCTAACTAATAACTATAAAATATTCTCCAGCCATGACAGCATTAAAAAAGTATTCATGACAAGGATGGATCACCAAACAACTATTTAATGGTAAACACCTGTTCTTTTATCATATCAAACATCAGTTTCAATGGGAAAATACCACTTCAACACCTGAAGAAAAGGCAGCCAAGGATCCCGGGAAAGGTTGGATTAGATATGTGTAGACTGCTATTGCAACATGAACCAATCCTATTAAAGTTCTTATTAGAGTCAGCATATTGTAGCATCAAGATCCATGCATCCTCACCTTGATATTATAATTTAAAGGGGAAAAGGAATACAAATCATACTCTTTAGGCTAGTCTTTTTGGTAAGAGCTTGGACATAAAAGTGAAGCAATGTGTCCGGGAACATGTTCAAGGTCAACTGGAATAATACACAGTTCAACACAAAGATTACTTCTTTTTAATGTTTTTGTTCTTTTTTCTTTCACTCTATGTTTGGATGCATGGTATGATACTTCCAGTTCATACTTGATTTCACATGTTCATAAATAAAGTCTAAGTGAAAAGGCTTCTTTACACTTTCTTCCTCAAACACAAAAAGAGATCTGACTGTGTTCCTATTGTGGGAGAGCACATAATGAAGTACAAGTGCATATCACAGGCAGGTGTAATCACAATCCTTATATGATTTCTTCCATGCAAAGAAAAAAAAAAAAAGAAACCCATATATCATGTTTAAAAAATTAGACCATTTAGTAAGGAAAATTAAGGTGGATTGAGGTGTCACAATAGGCAAAGAATGTCCAGGAAGAATAATGACAGATTAAATCACTTCCAAATGTTTTCTCAATAGGAAAAAAGAATGTGGAAATTTTTGTCTATTGGTGCTGTCGCCAGAAATCAAGCACCTGTGAAGGCTATGCCTAATGCTGTGGCACGGTGAAGAATCAGTTCAACACTAGAGAAATCGATCTCTTGACAAGGTTTTTGAATTGATAAATGGATATGCAAAGAGCTCTTGTGAGTGACAGATTTCCTAATCTTTATAGGGCTGCTGCAGAAAAAGACTGCATGATTGATCATCTTGCTGATTTATTCTATTGTTGCTGAGAGACATCATGAATTCATGATCTACATACTGTTTTCGGGACAAGCTGATATCATGTGTTACCTTTGCTTGCAGTATCATCCACGATCAAGTCTTCACCAAGAGTTCCTTGTGTTTTATTGACTGGATTGAGAACATAAGAAGATGAGATAACTGACAGGTTTTTACAGCATTGATGGGATAGCAAAGCACATCTGTTGGATTGACACACAAATTCTCTACATGTGAAGTAGGTAACCAATCCATTTCAAGACCATCATAATGGAAGGTCCAAACCATAAGAACTCAAAATGAAATGAGTGAAGCAGATAAGCGCATGCAACTCAAATCCAAATGTTTGTTTATAACAGTGATAATTAAGTCAATATACAAGTCCAAACCATAAGAACTCAAAATGAAATGAGTGAAGCAGATAAGCACATGCAACTCAAATCCAAATGTTTGTTTAAAATAGCGATACTTAAGCCAATATACAAGTCCAAACCATAAGAACTCAAAATGAAATGAGTGAAGCAGATAAGCGCATGCAACTCAAATCCAAATGTTTGTTTATCATGGTGATAATTAAGCCAATATACAAGATCATCACTCCCAAGAAGTGGTAACACTGAAACCAAAACTGCCAAATGGACTACAGGCTCAAGTTTCAGAAATTGATATCCATGTATGCACAGTTGGAGAAAACGAAAAACTTTCAGAGAACTGCCTCATGTAATTTCCAGAGTGACAAGGGAACTTACTGTTGCGTAATCTATGGCGGACATTCTAAGCAGCAGACATTGGAATTTCCTGACCATTATAAGTAAAAAAAAAAGCATAATTCTCATTTAAGAACAGCTAAATGCCTGTTTGAACTGAGAAAAAGGATAAGACACTAACATTCCTTAGCTACAGAACTATGAGGGAAGTGGTTAGAATATATGATGAAATCAACCCTTAACAAATCTTTTCTGGAAGTAAGAGATTTAGCAAAAAGCTAGATGTCATCGTCTCCATTGATATAAGAAGAAAATTAGCATGCATATTTGATACTCAAGAATCAGTGAAAGATTAAAGAACAAAGATTTGCATATTAAAATGCTCTTTCTTCGAACCAAATTAGCAGATGAATTCAATGTTTTTCTTCCCAAAGTAAAAAAAGAAAGAAAGAGAGAAAGAGAGCACATGTTGACAATCTGAGCCGAGAACTTGTTAAATACTAAAACAGAACGCAAATAACACTTCCATCTATTTGAGCATGGAAATAATATGAAGGACACAAAACCTATGCAACATCCATTGAAAGGGGTACACTGGCAAAAACATTTGCACTGAATTAATGAGGAATATGATCTTAAAATGAAAGATCATAAAACCTTATCCAACCATGTTACAAATGATGACTGATGAATTATGAGTTATCATCCTACGAATATTTACGAACATTGGTGCTGACAATCTCCAGTTTATATATAGAAAAAGAATCTCACAAAAAAAAAATCAAGCAATTTTTCTCCATCATATCTGTATTGCCTGCTTGAAATAAATTTTCGATAGCCTTGCAAAAAAATCCGACGAAAAAACAGATTAGAGACATGACTGAAAGCAAGTCAATGTTGTAGGGATCGTTCAGAACCTCCACTCTCTAAGATCAAAGAAATCACTATTCTAATGTCAATGTTACATCATCCGCTCTGATGTGCATGAGGTATTTTCTGAGGTTTGTGAAATCAAATGCAATCTAAAAGCTTGTTGTTTGGTTGGCAACTCCATACTTAATAGCCCTACACAACTTCAAATCAACTTGCTCATGATCTGCATTATGACCATCACATTAGCAATACAACAACATCACCTAGAGCGGATTGCTGCAACCACTGATTTAGATGAAGGCGAGCTTAATCTGTCATATATGGATGCCATTCACATAAACAATTGTAGTACAACTTGAGTAACTTCCTGTAGGTACATGCAATGTCTTGACATTCAAAACTCTTGCAGATCCATAATCACAAGTTATTTTACAACTAGAATTCAAGTATCAATTTTCATACAATCCCCATTCCGCCAATTCCCTGTGATGTGCCGGTGTGACAAAAGGTTCTCAATTTCATGTATCCGTAGCCTGTACAGTACCGGTCAGGGTTCGGATCAGTATTATAACGGTCCATATCAGTGTATCGAGCGTACACCAGTACATACTAAGTTTTAGAAAAACACTTTAAAAAAATACTAAAAATGAAAAAGAAACTTCCTGGGGTTTGTACATTTACTATACCTAATTATATAATCCCTATAGCGGCCATCACAACCAATCAACCAAAAAACATCCAAGACAAGAAAAAACAGAAAGAGGGAGGGAAATCATGGGCAGGTAAATAGACTACGGATATTACCAACCTTTCTAACCCTTGAAATCCAACCCTTTTCTTCCAACTTAATATCGATCGATTGTCCCACCTTGCTTGATCTCCGTCACCTCGAATCCCTTCTCGCTGGACGACTTGTCTCCTCCTCTTCTTCGTGCATTAACCAGGACACATGACCAAGCCTCCATCCCTACACCAGTAGAACAGAACCAACCCAACCTTTCAATCACAAAGATCTCAGCTTCACAAATAACGAGAAGTCTCAAAAAGATCGTCTTTTTCTTTTGTTTAACCGAAAGGATCCAAGTGTAAAACCAACCTTCTTGAGAGCTGTACGTACGACTACCGAAGCTAACAGACGCCGAGAGGGAAACAAGAAGCGGTTCCCGAGGAAGGCCGGAACAGAGAGAAAGGGGAGTCAACGAGGGCAGAGCGAGGCAACGGAGAGCGGAAGACATGGGGCGAGGTCTCATGCTTGAAGAGCACGAGGAATACAAAACCCTACACCCTCGTCAAGGGCGACTACCCTGTAATCCGCCGATGAGAGCGAGCCCGTAGGCGCCATGAATGATGACGATGCTACTCGCATGCTGCTTCCACCACGGGATGATGCCATGGGAAACCGTCGGCCAGTGCGGATGAGCGGCCGGCCGACGGGAGACGCACAAAACCGGCAACCCATTCAAGAACGAAGCAAAATGCGCAATTAAAATATAATAATGACGTCTCAAAAAACCCTATTTATCATTGTAGATTTTCGTATGGCATACAAATAATTATAATTAATATATATATTTAAATGAAAATGTCTCTAATATTTCTTCTCTCAGACTAAGGAAGAAAAAAAAAAAGAAATTATAATTATGTTCTATCCTCTACTGTCATTGCTTAGGTTATTTGCTCTTTCTCACAGACATGAATAGCTAATTAATCTTTTTAGTTATGCTTAGTGTGATGAATGGATGTATTCTTAGATAGCAGGAATCTTCTGTGCCTACGTGCTTCGGTCTTGAGCATGTCATGTAATCCTCCACTTCAAGTTTCGAATCGACTGTTCTGTGGAAGGAGCTAAATGACTGAGATATGGTGTAGGCTTGTGGAATATGTTCTCTGGGTTGACATTTAAGCTTGTTAGTTTCTGCTTTAGCGATTAATTTGGTGGATTTACTCTGTTCTTTGACAGATTAGTGGAGGTCTTGGAAGCGTGTTGCGAGTGAACATGAGCATGGAGATCAGCAAGGTTATGGAGTATGAGGCAACTGCCAAGCAGAAGTTGCCTAAGATGGTCTTTTGATTGCTATGCCTCGGGCGCAGAGGGCCAATGGACTTTGAAGGAGAACAGGGCGGCCTTTTCAATGATTCTGTGAGCACCTTTCTTTTGTTCTATTGTTCTTTGCTGTGCTTTGCTCTTCGTCTTAAAGTTATGTATTTCTTTTGAGGGAGTATAAAAGATATCATGATTCACATGTTCTATCCTTCATGGTTCTTTACATTTTACTAAAAGGAATCATGTGGCCTTTCTAACTAATAGTATGTCAAATATCAAAAGTGCATCTTTATGATGGCACAACAATTTCATCGACTTTCTGAAGTGCACACCATTTGTTTGCTGATATGTCTGGCAGAATTGTCTAGCGTATAAGCACTAAGGTTCACAGTTTTACATCCTAGTGAATGAGTCCGTTGGTTCTTTCTCTGATCTTGTGTAATGGTTCTTCTTTTACACACTAGTAAGATTGATAAGACTCATGAATCTGCTATAGTCTGATTTATACTTCTCTGATCCGAGAGTTCAGATTTCTTTTTGTTATGCAGTAATGGCTGATCTTTACAAGAGATAGGACTTTTTTTCTTATCATTTTCTATTCAAGGGTTTCTTTTCATGTTTCTAGTAGTCTTGCTAATAGGTTCTATTCATTTACTATGGCTGTACGGTATTAGAATTAATTACTTGAGTCACAGTCAAACAAGCATGTTCTTAGTTTCTGCAATATGACTAAGATGCCTCACAGTGTCTTTGAAGTAACTGGAAATGTGGTGTCCTAAAATATCTTATGAAATTCCACCAGGAATTTTGCTCAAAACGTATTATGAATGATCGACTGCTCTGATGTTCATGACACTGAACCTTCTAATTGACTCTGAACCAGGTTCCTCCCTCGCATACTCATTGTTGTCTCCAAGGTTGATATGACCACAACTGTACTAGGTTTTAAGATATCGACCATGATTGCTCCAACAGCAATGTAGAAGATGGCCCATCCTGATGGTATGGTTTTCCTGCACCTTGGGTGTCTTTCATTTGCACCAAGTTTCAGGATGTATACAAATTTTATTGCCTTTACCATGACACTATCGAAATCAGCTGGCCTTCTTAGATTCATGATCTGAAGTTGCAATGTGGTATCCTTTTTTCTTCTGCTTTTATATTGTGAAGTGTGGATGAGTTTTTGAACCACATGCTTGGATATCATCTAAGAAATTGAATTACTGCATTTAGTTGCTATTGTCGCCTCAGGCAAAAGTGTCAAGCTATCTACCATATTAATATTTTGCATTGCTGCATCTTACAAATGAACCTTCTAATGTTGAATCTCTTGTTATGCCTCAGGAGAGTATGCTACCGCAAGAGCAGCATCGGCAGTTGGCACTATTACAGTTGACTATTGTTTCTTGTGTTTTTTGTGGTCTAATAATTTGATCCTAATTATACTTGAGCATCATATATGGACCTTAGAGACTATCAAGATCATTCAGTTAGCCAATAGACAAACTGCAGTTGCTAGGAAGTCATGGTAATCCGAGTGATTGGACAAACAAATTTTTGGCATGACAAAGCTTCATGTAGAATTGAATTTTGTCCACTTCGAAGTCCATAATTCTTTTTGCAGAAACTTATTTTGGAATTTCTTATCAAACTTATCTAAATTGGTGACCAAGTTGGCTGACCTTTTTTCTACACAAAAGAAGAGATAGCATATGGAGATTGTGAGTAGCAAATGTAAGTACATTTTGGTGGGAAATTTGTGTCATGTTCATTCTTGGTATAGACTTCCTATTATTATCTTGGTTATGCATTGACTGTCTTTGTATGAATAATGGTGCTATGCTTCATGAATGAAAACACCTCTTGACAGATATCTCTTCTGCACTGCAAAATCCACCATCCTCAAGAAAGATAATGACTATGAACTCTTATGTTCTGATTGTCTCAATGCAGATTGATTATTATTTAAGAAAATTTAAGGAGGAAGTCATTTACAGGACGAAGTGCAATGCCTTAACTGTATCATATACAAAAATGGTGTCTGAGTCCCTGATTTGGTGGAGCAATCTACCAAGCAGCATGGATTAATCAAGAGAACTGAATAGAGAAGCACAAATTTGTTAGATTTGCTTCATTGTGCACTTGAGACTTCCACTTGCCAAAGTAATGCTCAGATCATGTAGCTGATTCCCTTCAGCTCGTTGCTAACTGCAAATATGCTATCCTGAATATTTGATTCAGAGAAACTCTTTGAGCTATTGAAAAAGTGAGAATGTAGTCCATATCTATCTCTTGCTTATACACATTTTATGTATTTCTTTGGTAGACACTGTCATCATGGGCAACTTCCAGAATCGAAGAGGTTGCTTCTACAGGACCAGGAATTTGATTCTTCCAGCTCTATGTAATCATTATCTTCTAATATTGAATATATTTCTTTAATGTTTAAGGTAAAAACTTGATTTCAAGAAGTTTTCAATGTAATCTTATTAGGTGTATAAGGATAGGCATGTAGTTGCACAGCTTGTCCAAAGAACTGAAAGAGCAGGATTCAAGGCAATACCACTTACAGTCGACACTCCAAGACATGGCTGGAGATAAGCAGACATCAAGAACAGGTATATGCTTGAACACTCCAAAGCATCGTCTTTTAAGTGCTTATTCTCTTGCACTTGTTTTGAGCATGATAGAGCAGGATGGCCCTTGACCTTCCCCCTGCACCCAGTTGCTGGTTTTACTCTGATCAGTTGTTTCTTCATAATTCATAATGTTGTGCCATCCTATTCTTGAATGTTCTGCAGATTCACTTTGCCACCATTTTTTACACTCAAAAAACTTTGAGGGTTTGGACCTTGGAAAGATGGACAAGGTGATGAATAACGGTTTTCTCTATGCAATTTGAACTTTTCATTGTTAGTATTTGCTGCACAATTCATCTGTTGTTTTGTGCAGACCGATGACTCTGGCCTTCCTCATATGTAGCGGGTCAAATTGATCGATCATTAAGCTGGAAGGTATGCAGGTTTATCACCTTGATCCTTGATTAACATTACTTGATTAATGTTTGTAGATGTTAATCACTACTATGCCCATTTTTGTGAAAGGAGTCCTTACTGCAGAGGACAGTAAGCAATGTCTCTTCTATAGCTTCCTGTTTATTAATGTTAGACCAATTGATTCATCGAACAATGTGTTTCCTTTCCAAATGCAGCGAGACTTGCCATTCAAGCGGGTGCAGCTGGTATCACTGTCTCCAACCATGGAGCTCGTCAGCTTGATTACGTTCCAGCTACAATCAGTGCACTGGAAGAGGTACATATGCAACTCGAACCGAGCTTTTCTTAATCACAAGAAGAAATCCACTGTGTGCTTGAATTGATCATGGAATCTTCGTGGTTGGCACGTGAACATAAACAAAACTTCACATGTTCTGAGAAAAGAATGCATCAAGATGTCCTTCTTTTGCAGTGTTCTAAGAACCATCTCGTGTGCAAATTTAGGTTGTCAAAGCCGCACAGGGCCGTGTTCCTGTCTTTCTCGATGGTGGCGCTCGCAGAGGAACTGATGTGTTCAAGGCTTTAGCTTTGGGAGCCTCTGGTGTCTTTGTGAGCAAACATGACAAAGAAAGATTCATCGCTTCTCCCACATTCCAAGATTCCACATGAAACAAGAAAGTTACCTGTGAATTCTGGTCGATTGCAGATCGGAAGGCCTGTGGCGTTTGCTTTGGCTGCTGAAGGTGAAGCTGGAGTGAGGAAGGTGCTGCAGATTCTGAGAGACGAGTTTGAGCTGACAATGGCATCGAGTGGGTGCACTTCACCGAGAGAGATCACCCGAAGTCACATAGTGACTGAGGCAGACAGCCATCTCCCTGCCTGCCTCGAGGTTATGATGCTCCTGAGGTGATTGCCGGCCTCGTTCAACAAGAACAGAGCTGCATCAATATCTCTTGATGTTGGACTCTCTTCTAATCGTGGCAATGTAATCTAATTTTGTATGTATATTCTTTTAGCATATTTGGTCACCAATCTGATTCAAGAATTGCCAGATGAATTATGTATGCCAAACAAGAGATTCTCTGTCATGATGAATCAATCTTAAATTATGATAAAGCCAATTTATCATGGTCTTAGGAACATGATTACAGTTCCTGCATTGCATGAAAATTTTCATCAGCTAGTCTTTAGAATCTTAGAATTCACCATTAACAACTAAGAATGTGCTTGCAGATTGACAAAACCAGAATTAGCTACAGAAACTACACATACTGTTAGATCCTGTCGTGAGTTATCGTGGATTCATTGTGTTCAGGCTTTTTCCCTTGCATCCACCACACTGGTTCCTCCCATCTGCTGCTGTGACAAAAAAGTACGATCGACATGTCGAAGACACGACAGGATGATCCACTGAGAAACAACACATGACATGCATCAGAAGGGGGGAGATTTGGAGACTCAATGATTAAAGATCAATGATGCAGGAGAGAAAGCTTGATACAGAGGGTAATGTTTGGTAGAAGGACAATGATTAGGGGCTAAAGAATGCCGAAAAGCTTGCCGACATTTGTGTTAGGGGCAAAAGCTGAGACAGATGAACAGTTCCGTAAGGTTTTGGTTGCAGACTGGTAAGTGATCATCATCAGTAAGTCATGGTGATTGGATTAAGTTTTGGTGAATAGAAGTTTGCACTTTGTACGACTTTGCAATGCTTTGAGGCTATAGGAGGCAATCTCAATTAGCGCATTATATACGCAGTTATAGGATCAAAAAATTCATGCCCAGCAAAAGAATGAATTGAAGTCAGGTTCTATAGTTTTGGACATCATTGATCTGAAAATAGAGGTTTGGCAGTAGAGAAACACAAGGTGGAATTGAAACTGTGTGAAAGAGACATGAGAATCTCTCCCCAGTAATTAAGATATCATCCACAGCCACCACATCCGAAGCTTCCTCTCTTTTTACTGCGCTGATGCGACTCCTCCAATGTATACACCTTAGCTTGCACAGGAGATCAAAACTCCTGTTCCCATGTGTTCCTTCTCCAAGTCTTGTAGGTAACTAAAGAAGCATCATGATAGCCATCTCTCTCTCTCTCTCTCTCTCTCTCTCTCTCGCTCTCTCTATCTATCTCTTTCTTTCTTTTGGGGCCACTAAGAACTGACAGAGGGGAAGATGGGCTGTCCCGGAGAACTAAGTCGACTTCATGAACTGATACAGCAAAAGATTTCGGGTCTGCTTGAGGTCTTCTGTCCAAAGTGCGAGACAAGGCTCGATTTGATCCATTTTCCCACAGAAGGAAGGTAGATTCTCTCAAAAACGATCCGCGAGGGTGAAATGACGAAATGTGTTTGACGAGATCCTTCTCTGACACTCACCTCAATAAGTCCAAAGTTAGATAGAGAGAGAGAGAGAGAGAAGGTATGGTGTCGTGTTATGAGAGTTCAACTGTTGGGACTGTCGGAAGTTCTCTTGAGGGAATGTCGATCCTTAGTTTGGGAATCATATCAGCCTCTCATTGGGGTCAGATTTATTTCCGGATATCAGCTTCCTACCTGAAGTAGATTCCGGCGATCACCATGAGATTCCTAAATGAAGTTACGTAAGGACTTTCTTCTTTCTTCAATAGTCGAATGAAAGCTGAGAGACACATCTGCTCGTATACATCCACACGAATCTTGCAGGCCGATCGATGGGCTGAACTATTCGGAAAAAGGATGATGATCAAATAACTTTGAGTGGGAGGGAACATGATGTAACGTCTCCTACAAAACGTACACCTCCACGTTATATCGACATCCCACCACCCGCCAAATACAAATGCTTGTAGCCATGTCATGCACGGAATGCTCCACCATGCAACCCGCGGACTGCGGGCGGCCGCAGAGCTATCGGGAAGAGATTGAAAGAAAGAAGGAAGAAAAATCGAACTACTCTGCAGCAAACACATTCTACTGAGACTTAGAGCCTCAAGGAGAGATCGATAATGGTCCTGTCGTCACCAGTGGATGGAAGTGGAGCAGCAGCAGCAGCAATGGAATTGACGGAACCGAGATCTGGTGAGAGTGCCTGATGGGGGTATGAAGCCCTCTGCCAGTTGAGGATGAGGAAGGGCCGGTCAGCCAGCAGGCGAGGGGCTCCGCAGTCGCCGGAACGGTGGAGGACAGGCTTGCATGAGTGGGAAGCGATGGGAAAGGAGTGTGTGGTAGGTGGTGGTGGTGGTGGTGGTGGGAGATAGAGGTGGGGATTCCAGCTACTACCTCGCTCTTTCTTGTGGGCATTCTGGTGTCCGCCGAGGGCCTGAGACTTGAGGAACTTCCTGTTGCAGAAGAGGCAGGGAAAGAGCCTGACGTCCCTCGCGTCGTGGCCGGAGGACGGCGGCGACGACGAGGCCGCGGCGAGGGTGAGGGAGAGATCGACAGCGGGCGGCGACAGCGGCGGCTCAGAGGGAGGGGATTCCATCTCTCACTCCTCAGCCTTGAGCTTCAGATCTTACTCGACTCCTCGCTGTTGGATTTTGGCTTCTTTTATCAGTTTAAGGGAAGACAGTGACACAGCAGCAAGCCCTCCTTCTGCGGTCCTCCTTCCAAAATGAGTTGCACCATCATGTCAAGAAGATGATGATGACCTCGCTTTGGATCAAACCTTTCTGATGGGCTACAGTCGTTGAGCTGCCAACAAACACATGCGCTGCATCCATCCAGAGGCTAAAATAGGTGAGGAAAAGAACGCCACAAATTTGGCTGTGCTGCTCAGCATTCGAGGAAATGGAGAACCACAAGGGTAGATAGAAAAAGGAAAGAATTGTACCTTACGTGAAGTGGCTACCAGAGGAAGAAAGAAACCTTGGGCATGCGTCCCTTTTGCTAGATACTTGAATACAACAAGCTGCAAGTACCAAAAGCCATGGGGGGACGGACGGTGGCACTTCGACACCCTAACTTGAGCTCCTCCCTCTAAACCACACACTTTCTTTAAACTAGCAAAAAGTTCATTGCGTATGGGGAGTTCGAATAAAAAAACTGATAAATTAAATAAATACATAAATCGGGCATGGAGCCTCAAGTTTGGACAAAACTGGCTACCAGCCAAAGTCATGTCCGAGTGGAAACATCACTCTACCTGTGAGTTGCCTGGGAGCACAGATATCATAATCTGGAACTGAAGCGATTGGTATATGCTACCTGTGCACTGCATAATGATTGAGCATTTAACACATTGGGATTACAAAACAACAGACTTAACAATCCTGTGATGCATCATCATCTTCCAAATGGAAAAGACCGGGAGACAACAATGTAAAAAATCCAATATGAAGCAAGACTAGAATGGGAAGAACAATATGGTGAGAAGAAAGATAACATAACCCAACTTGTGATCGCTAGACTACAGTTTTCAGAATGATTTATGGTAATAATATGACAGGAAAAGCCACTGCAATAATTAAGGGAAAGATAGCAAAAAGTCCACAAACACATGCAAAATCCACAAACATTTTGTCGTTATTCTACTACGAGTGGTCCTGCTTGAGTAATAATGACCGATGCTCTTGCAGCCCTTTTGTGCCACATGACAGTCTTTTGTTTGATCTGTAAAGATGAACTGGAACCATCAAACATGCCCCAGATGACCACTGCACCTTTTAACAAGAACTGTGAGCATGCCGTGCATCACAAGTTCTCCTTTGAGCTAAGAGAAGCATGAAGGCCTTAAGAGTCCTTTCTTTAGAATCAAACCATAAAAAAGTTTTGAAAGATTATACTGACAAGATGAGACTCTACAGCAATAAATAATGAACTTCAAATGACAATGACTGGTAAACTTTGAAAAAAAATCAGAATTCAGGGTCATTCAAGACATGATTTGAATAAAATTGGAGGGCACAAAATGTTCAACAAACTAACTTCTAGTTGCTTCTTCAAGAACCACATCACAGATGCATCCAGAGAGCAAATAATAAAACCAGTTATTACAATGGGCAGATTCCTTCATGGATATTCCAGCAAGCAATCCTGAAGGCAGTTTACTTTAATTATTTGGAACAGCATATTCACATTATAGTACATACAAGCGGGTATTAACAATATGCACAAGAAATAGCTAGTATACAATTTGTGCCACGACGGACATAGCAGGGTGTGCAAGAGACCACCAAAATCATATAAACAGATTCATCTGCTTATCCATTCCAATGTAGTATTAGTAGAGCTAAAATCAAACATCATGGCTCACAGAGACCAGGAAGATTCGATGGTGAACAACATATCTTTTAGAATTCTGATTCTCTTCAACTTGCTTCATAACAACTACTATTTAAATTAATTCCAAACATCCAAATACATAACAAGCATATTTTCAGTAAAATCACTTGTGTATGCATCTGTCACATCTTTTTCCAGCTTCATGCTGAGTCAGGTACATGAGCATCTGAAACCACCTTCTCCTTTATATAACTCAGCACTTCTGATTTGGATATCTATTTAAGTATTTATGATTGATTTAAAAATTTTCGATCACCAATTCAGTTTTTTCTTTGTTAAAAGAAGAAAAAGCACCAAATGCATGAGATGTACATAAAAGCATGGTCAGTTACAACTAATTTTGAAGAATAACTTCAAGAGTGGAATCTTAAAACAAAAAAAAAGAAAAGAAGGAAAATATGAACATCATCCAAAAATAAAATAACTTTACAGGGATTCCAAATTGCACCAAAAATTCCACATTAAATTAAGCCAACAGACCCTCAAACATATCCAGAGAGGAGAGAGATTGCCCTCTTTACAGATTCAAAGTAGCAAGATAACAATGACCGGTAAATAAAATGAAAAAGGATGATAACTTCATGCACCTGGAAAGAAAACCCACAAAACCTCATTATTAGAACAGCCAAGCCAATTTTGACTAATATTTACCCGGAAGCACACTATTTTGAGAAGAAAACAAGACCAAAAATTGGACTTCATATCCATAAGTTCTCCCTGCGATATTCTCTCACAATAACTGGCACACTGGAAGGTGGGAGCTGCAATAAACAACATTTTATTACTAATATAAGCCAAAAAAATTGCAATTCTTTCGCATAATGCTCAAGAAAAAATTAATACGTCGAGATATGGACCAAAACAGTCTATTCCAAATTTTAAAAAATGGAGTAAACAAGTAAAGATTTATCCTTAGTGGTTGCAGAAATCATTTAAATACAGACTATTCTATTCCAAATTTTCAATATAGAAAAGATTGTTGTATCCTGTAACAATAAATAAGGCTTCAAACTCAAGGATCAAACCAATGATTTAAAAAGCACTAAGTGTCAAAAGATGCCAAGGTCCCAAAATACTCGGAGCGAAGTGAAACGCTATGAAATATTACAATATAAAAAATATATAATATAATTGATAAATATGATTATATAAATAAAAATATGATATTAAATTAAAAAGATCTAATAATAATTTTAAATAAACAAAGATTAGCAATGTTAAAATCTACATAGCATATTATTGATCTAATAAATAGAGATTACTTTGTACAGTAGTTAACAATCTACTAATAACAGTATATTATTAACTGTTAATAGTAGTTAAAGGGGAGAAAAGAATTGTTAACAGTAGTAAAGGGGGATAAAAGTGTCACCGCCAGTAGAAAGTGGGGAAGAAGACAGTGGTGACGAAGGAAGTTGCGGATGGCAATAGCAGCAACGAAGGATTCGGTTTAAGACAGTCACGACAGCGGAGGAAGTTGCAAACGATAGCAACGACAATTGCGGACAACAGCAGCAGCAGCAGTAGCAGTGGAAGCTGCGGATGGTAGCGGTAGCAGTAGCAGTGGAAGCTCCAGAGGGCGTCCGTCGGTGCCGAAGGAATCTGCAGTCCTCTCTCTCAACGATGGAAGGAACTGCACATGGAGCGACAGCTGAAGGAAGCTACGAGCTCTTGCTAGGCCATCGGACCCGTCCGTCGACGATAAAGGAAGGCTCGGTCCGCTGAGTCTGTAGGGAAGGTAGCGGCAGAAAGTGTCCATGGTGGGGGCAACGACAGAAAGCATCAGCGACAGAGGCAGAAGTAGTGCTAGGGTTGGCTCAGGGTCGCACGGGCATGTAAGGGTGGCTTTTGTGGATAAGAAACTAGTTAGTTGGTTCAATCGAACCAACTAACCACTATTGAACCAAAAGTCTGGTTCAGTTGCTTTATTTGAACCCGGCACTCACCCGAGGTGCCTAACGCCTGGGTTCAGGCGAGCGCTTAGGCAGCGCCTCCTTGAAGCGCACCGCTTGGTCCACTCACGAGGCGCTCATGCCTCATCTCGCCCGAGCACCTAGGCAAGTGCCCGGGCACCTATTTAAATCACTAGACCAAACCAGAAAACACACAATAATACAACAATTTGAAAAGATGCAGGCATCTTGAAAATCATTAAGACTATTGGTGCAATAGAAAATGCTAGGATTTGTGAGCTCCAAGAAGGATGTTTGGAAAGTTAAAAAAGATTCTGAAGTAGTGTAATAAATAATTAAAATAAGAAAATGCATCTTTCAACATGCAGAAAGAGTAAAATATAGTTAGACGGCACAAAGTCTTAACCTAATAACTGACTGCAAACATGAGAAGACAATCCTTGGAAACAATTCAGGATTGCAAATCGAGAGCATTGTAGATGGTTTCTTATGTCTAAATAGTATGTGTAGAAAACTCTTTGTGACACAAGGCCATTATAGTCCTTCATGGTGAAATTTCTCACAGCGCAGATAGAGAACAACAGTCCTAGATACAATTCAAATCATCTATAATCACTAAAACCAAAAAAAGTTACACCAAACCATCAAACTTTATGGGAAAAAATCTGCTAACTTCATTGGAAATTCCATCAATTAGTACCAAACCCTAGAAATAGTTTCTTAATTATAATTTGTAAAGAACAAAAGAGTTTCTAATTATCCTCCCTTTTCCATATATGCTAAAACAATAGCAATAATCTAATTAAATATCAGCTTCTATAAAAATACAAGGCTATCTTCATTTTTTACAGTCAACCTTGTGAATTCATAGAGAACTCAACCAACTCACGTATTTATGCATGTTCTGATCTCCATCATTTGCTTATGCTGCAAATAACTTGCCACAAGTCCTTGACAATATCTTTGATTGGTTCCATTAGCTAATGATACATCCCACCAATAATCACCAAATAAGGCAATAATCCATTCAACAAGGAACAAAGATTTCTTGAGTTCAATGTTAAGGGATGGAAATAAATACTGAAACAAACATCAGCAAGACACCAACTATTATATAATCCCTGTTATCATAGTATGCTCAAGTTTGACCATATTATAAGAACCACAAAAGAGTGGTACTTGATCCAACACTTGGTCTCAGGCAGCAATACAATATGGATCAACCAATATCAAGGGTGATCCTGAGCTCCATATGTTGACCAATCAAATCACACATCTCCTTAAATATCAAAAGAGAACTGTCTTGTGCACATTTCATGATTTAGTAACCCATTTGTCTATTCTTTCAAGAATTTTCTCAAAGCAAAATTGATAGTTCTTATTTCTTGAAGTAACCTCATTCAAGGCTAAACATCAAATGACTAAGCTTTTTCTTCCTAGAATGAGCAAATAATATTTTTAAGCACAGGTGATTGAAATGTTAAGTGACTCTATTTCTTTGCAGTATGCTACCCATTAAGAATCTGTGGACCTTTACGTCATTGAAGCTTGAAAAGCTTCTAAAAATTAGATAGCATAACCTACCTGCCTATCCTTATAAAGCTTCTCCATTTCCAGTTAATAAATAATATGAGGCTAGCATCAATAATGCATCAAAACATCAGAGCTTAAATACCACCTGACAGCTTCATTTTGACATGGAAATTTGTTATCTAATCAGAAGAAACTTTAATCAATCAAAGCAATTGTATAAAAATGCAGCAACCAACAAAAAAATTCATTTACAATAACAGCCACATACAAAAATAACTCATTAACAACATGACACCAAA